GAAGATAATTTGACGATTAATTAAACAATATAATAATAAATAATAAAAAATTGTGATAGGGGAAAAGATAAAACCAAAAATCCGTGAAAATAAAAAGAAGACAAGAAATAGAAAAAAGTAGTCGAACGAACAGGAACAACACGAATTACACGAAGATGATTTCTGACGAGAGACGAAGAAAGATGAGAAGAAAATAGAAAAAGATAAAAAAAATAAGAAGAAGAAACAGAAGAAATAAAATAAGAAAAATAAGTAGTAGAAGAAGAAGAAGAAGAAGGAGAAATGCAGTTGCAGAAGAGTCTCGTTGCTACTATGGCAGTCCTTATCACTGCTGCGTCCAATGCATAAAGCATAAAGTTCGTATCTCATGCATACATTCATACAAACGTAGAAGATCGTGGCCAAAAAGTAAGAGAGAGGAAACCAAAAGATAGAAAGAGAAAGAGAAAGTGAAAGAGAGGAAGAGAGAGAGAGAGAGAGAGAAGGTCCACGAAAAAGAGGAAGAAGATGAAGGAAGGATGATGGTTAAAGGTAGAAAGGTCATAACTTACTCTCCCTCTCTCTTTCTGCCAAGATTTATCCAACACTTCTCCCCCTCATCTTTCCACTCCTCATCTCTCTCTCTCTCTCTCTCTCTGGAATCTTCAAAAGACACGAAGGTAAACCCACCCTTAAACTTGATCCCACATCAATGCATATATACCTAGTTTTCTACACATTTACACACTTATATAAACATATACGTAAATGGATATATATATATATTAGATAAGTGAAATGTTTTAAATCAGTTACTAGAATATAATTTATTATTATAATATATAAATTATTGAATATAGTTTATATATTATAATCAATAGATCATTTTATTATTGATCCATTTGATAAATATCACCCAGTATAATAATATCCATTGGTATAAAAAGAAATCAAGGAAGATCAAGGACACGTATATCGCGAAAGGTAATCGTTGGGGGTGTCTTTTGAAACGTAACTGCGTAGTTCAATTCGAAACTAACCCTTCAACCACCCACCTTCTTTTCCTCGTTCATCCACCCTTTGATACTTTGAACCTATACCTTTCTCCTCTCTTTCTCTTCTAACCTTCACCACCACCTCTTTTCACCCAAACCCCCCACCTGATCCTTCTCGTGTAGGTATAACACATACGACTACGAACCGCTCAAAATTCCATTTTCCTCATGGGAATACATCCGGCGGTTGGTTCATTGAAAAATAGCCCACTTACCGCACACACCATGGCCTCTTTTTTTTACCATAAATCAATCTCTCTCTCTCACTCTTTCTATCATCTAACAGAGGGGGATCTATCGGTTCACGTTCGGTTCCATTCCTTATTCTTATTCCTTTTCGTTTCTCCCTGCGTGACTTCGATTTCATCTCTGGGATTGAAGGGGTTGAGGTTTGTGGGGGTTTGTTGAGGAAGGGGTGTGCTTTTTCTATCGTTGCTTTTTCACTTTTCCATTTTTCTCTTATTCTTTTCTTCCACCCTTTTTTTTTTATCTACCCTACGTATCTATCTATCTATCTATCTATCTATCTATTTATCTTTTCGTTTTTTTTCTTTTTTATTTTTCTTTCTATCACTCTTGGACTCTTATCTTCAACCTTGGAAAATTCGGAAAGTCGAATCGAATGGTAAAGTAGGTGAACGACACCGAATCCTGTCGAAGAGAAAACTCGATCTTTCTCTTATTTTCTCGTCGTTCTTTTTTATTTTTTTTTATTTGTAATACGGATTAGTTTTTAGGATGAAATTTCAATAAATTTTTAGTTATCATTGGATTATTATTTATAATAATACTAGCCTGTGACCAGCCACGCGTTATTGTGGCTTATGTGAGCCAAAATAAAGGTTAGGTTTTGTTCAAATCTAATGACCAACAGATGGCACTGGACTTAATTATATCTTTGTCTTGTTGTTTTTAAATTAATTAATTATTTTATAAATAACATTAATGTAATAAAAATCTAGCAGTATGCGAGTGCAACATTGTGTTATTATATTGTTGAATAAAAATTATTTTCAATAATTATCTTGTATTAATCAATCATATAAAATCAATAACAAACTTTCTTGCTTCTTCAAAAAATTAATGAAACGATCTTATCTATTATCACGAATATTAAATTCATCCTAACAAAAAACAAAAAGAAATTTACCAAGAAGAAGAAGAAGAAGAAGAAGAAGTATTATCGGTGAACAATAAATAATCTGAAAAGATAGATAAGAGATAAACTGGGTGTGGGGGGTAGGTAAGAGGGGTTGGTATGAAATGCATTCGTCCTCGTGGGCCATCGTTAAATGCTTAATTGCATTTTACGCTTCATTGTTCATGCCCAGCAGCAAAGGTTCGTTAAGACCACCTAGAAGAATCTAAGAAAAAGGTGTGGTGAATTGGTAGAGTGTTGGGGGTTGGGGTTGGGGTTGGGATTGGGGTTGGCTTGAGGGTGGTTGCTTGAAAATGGATAGTGTGGTGGATATAACTGGCAGGAATAAGAAGAAAACTACGAAGATGAAGAAGATGAAGAAGAAGACGAAGTAGATGATGATGATGATGATGATGATGATGATTCTGATGCTTTGCGATTTCTAACGGCGTCGAAATAACGAGCTACCGGTTTCAACCCCTGAGAACTCATTTTAATCGGTGATAGGATAACTATGGGGGTGGGCGAGGGTGTCATTAATTACTCCGGATGTAGGAGGTTCTTCCCCTTTAGTTACCAACCCCCTTCCCTTAATTCACAACCCATTTTCTTAACCGTTCAACATTGACTACTTTTCTTTCCACAGCTTTTGTAATTGTTCAATTATTTTTTTTTTTTTTTACTTTCCTATTCTTATTTTATTTTATTTTATTTTTTATTATTACTTTCTCAATCGTAATAAGTACTCTCGAACTTTATATTTTAAGTAACCTCGAGTTATATACGAATAACCTATACTACTACATTCTCGAAGTGGGTTGAAATCTTTTTTTTTTTTTTTTTTAATAAAAATAATAAAATAAAGTTTCTGTAGGTTCTCCAATCGAAAATAAGGGTAAAGGGGGAAAGGGATAGGTTGAAGTGTTCTTAATAAATTCCAAACGAATCGTTTCAAACTTTCTCAATTATATAATTGGACTTTGTAAAAATTTATTTCTTGTTTGGTTTTCTATACCAAGCCACCCTTTGCTTTTTATTTCACGATTGAACGAACAATTGTTTTTCAAGTGGTGAAATAATTAACAATTTAATTATTAACATTAAATATTGTTATAATTGTTGAATAATAATTTGTTGAAAAAAAATGTATTGTTTCTCGTCTTTTAAAGTGAAAACTTTTTGTTTTTAATCCGTCAAACGTAATTTCATTTAATTGCATTGACTGTGAAACTAAGAAGAAATAAGAAAAAATAAAAAGTTAAATAAAAAAGAAAAAGCTTTTGTAAATTGTTCGTCGCTTGTTAAATCTCATTGGAAAATTTGTTGAGAAACTGATCGATAGGGATCCATTCATTGTACACTCATACCAATTTACTAAACTACAAGAATCAATGTCTACGGTTGATTTTCCATTGGTTCGATTCATTTTGCGAGTTATCGAATTAAAAAAAAGAATAAATAAATAAAAAAAAAAATAAATAAAAGAATTCGCGAAAAGTTGAACGATGAATGAAGTTTCAAGTTTATCAAGAAGAATGCAAGCGTTTAAAAGTTACTTTTTACGAACCACCCCCTATTCTTTCGATTTTACGAAGTAAATAAAATCAAATAAAATAAATTATATATATATATGTATTGAAGTAAAAGAAATTTCAAAAGAAAAAAGAAGAATTAATTAATTAATTATTAATACATTAAAATAATTGGAAGATACATAAATAGGTTCGATTAATCTACGAAATAAATAAAATTAATAAAATAAATAATATATATATATAATATATTAAATAATAAAATAATATAAATTAATAATATAAAAATATATAAATTTACATATAGAATTAATAATATAAATTTAAAAAATCTTAAAGAAAAATTTAAATTATACAAATATATAAATTTATATAATTAATTAATATTTTATACATTTAATATAAATTATATATAATATTATATATAATTTTTAATTTTATATATTATAATTATATATTTAATTAAGTAAAAAAAATTTCAAAAGAAATAAGAAGAAAAAAAATTAATCATTTAATTAAATATACATTGATATAAAATAAAATCATTAAAAAATAATAAGATAAATGATATACAAGGAAAAACTATATATAAATAATTAGTTGTGATTATGATAAAATGATTATTGATTTGATAATAATAAATATAATTAAAATTGTAATTGTTATATATAAGATATAACTGTTAGCAAAAGTAATTTCAATTTCTAATAATATCCGTGTAAGTATTAACGTTCACAGTCTCATCTATTTTGTATTTAACTCTAATTGTATTATAAATAAATCTCATGAAACACACAGCTAACGAAATTACGAATCGAGGAGTACTATCTTCTAACGTCTTATATGAAAAGGGAAGAAAGTTTACTTGCACACGCTAATTCTGATGGATGACTAAAGTTTAAACTTCGTTTCCAAATACAATACCTGGTGTGTTGGCCTATTTGCTTTTAAATGTGATAAACTTAATATTCGATGGATAAATATAGATATATATATATATATATATATATATATATATATGTTTCAAATAATCCAACAAATTATACATTTTCATTCTAATCATATTTTATAATGATAAATAATAATAAACAAATTAAATGATTATTCATCATTTTTATAATATTTCAATTCATTGATCGAATAAATGTGAATGAAATTATAATCATGATTATCTTCATTATATTTACATTGAAATATTAAATATTTATTTAATAATAAAATAATTATATAACAAAGGTTTAAAAATAATTAAATTAATAATTATCATTAATATTTGATTTATTTATTATTTTTCAGATAATCGACCAACTATCCCGAAGATTTATCAACAAACTGGTTTATTCTCATGGCAGCACGGGAACTTGCAGCCCTTTTCATCGCAATTTTACAACTTTGCTTATGTGAGTTCATAAGTCATTCCTTTTTTTTTTTTTTTACTAATATTTGTTCCTTTATTTATTAAATTTAATATAAAAAAAAAATGAAGAAAACAACTTCCTAAAATAAAATAATTTCAACAATTTGATTTATATGTTTGAAAATAAAAAAAGTGAAAAAGTCTATATGACTTGGATAAGAATATTTAGTAAAGAGGGTGGGGTGGGGGGTAGTTTAGAAGGGATTGGGGTAAAAAAAATGAAAAATTTGGCAAGGAAAGACTAAAAAGAAGAAAATAGAAAGTATAAGAAGAAGAAGAAGAAGAAGAAGCCGCAAATTGAAAGTTCGCGTTCGCAATGCACCACCTTCCGGCACATGACTTTCATGAGAACTCTGCAGATGGGGACCCATTGAGAAGAAGCTTTCTTTCTCGACTTCTTTTTCATCGTAAACGATTTTCCCAGTTTTCTAAAGACAGACCAAAAGACGAGACAATCTACTATCCCATCAAAATAAAAATAAAAATCTTAGAACAAAATCGTCACTTTTTATACGTTCGCCACAAACAGAAGAAAAATATTCTAACAATTAACTTTTTCTATGCTTTTACGATGCAACGAATTATTATTTCATTAAATACCACAAACTACTAGGAACTACTAGTTAAAATAAATAAACGTAAAACCTTTTAACGATGTAGCCCCTTCTCTCTCTCTCTCTCTCTCTCTCTCTCTCTCTTCTTCTTCTCTCACGCCCGTTAAATTCCAATTCGCCCTTTTTTGACTTCAAATCAACAAGCCGAAAATCCAACGATAAATCTCGGCAAATCCGAGATCACACATTTCCCTAATCCCCGATCAGGAAGCAAGTCAAATTTTAAATACAAAAGAAAATGATTTTAGAAAAGATTTAAAGAGCTCATTTTATTTTTATAAAAAGGGTAAAAGAAAAAGAAGTAAAAAGAACTCGCTAGATTAACCTAACCTAAATAATTTTGGAGTACACGAAGTGTACCTTAAAAAGAAAACCAAAAAAAACAAACAAACAAAAAGAAACAAAAAATAAAAAACAAAGAAGAATATTAAAAAGTGATGCGAAAGAAGAATAAAAAATTCATTGAAAAATAATCAAATAATAATAATAATAATAATAATAATAATAATAATAATAATAATAATAATAAAAACAATAAGTGTATTAACGTTATTACAAAGGA